GTGGGATGGGTTAATTATATTATATTATAATTAAATATTTAATAATAAATTAATTTAATAATTTATTATTTCATAAATAAAAAATTTTAAAAAAATTTAAAAAATATGATTTTGGTAACTTTAAACTCGTGTTCTTATTTTTGAAATAGAATAAACTTATACTCTTAAATATGTAATATTTCCTTTTAAAGATTATAATTCGAAAAATCAGATATGAGCTTTACTTATCCATAAATTAGGTGATAATTCAGCTATTAATATTAATAATAATATGATTATAAAATCTACCCCACCTTGAATTTCTCTCTCTTCTCTAACTCTATCTTCTCTCTTCTCATTCACTCCACCTAACCCACACCCCCTAATATGATATCGCTGCCACATCGTTGTCGAAGACACCACGAGCTCACAGCGGCGCAACCTCACTCGCTACGCGCAATGGTGATATTGGTGGTTTGGTTGGGTTTTTTTATTGTTTTGGTTGTTGGTGATTTGCTTGGTTGTTGGGGTTGTTAGTGGTGGTAGTGCGATAATGGTGGTGGTGGTTGTTGGTTTGTAAATTGTGGTGATGTCGTTGGTAAGATTTTGGTGGTGCTACTAAAACTGTGGCGGCTTACAATTCGTTCACAAGTGTCATTATTCATGGGTCACATATCGATGTTTACGAGTCACAGATCAATTAACACGTCACTATGGTCACATGTCATTGTTCGCTTGAAATTTACAAGTGTACGAGATTGTTATACAAGTAATAAAATATTTGAGTTAAGAGTATCATTCCCACGATGAATAAGAGCATGTTCTCTTTACCGTTTTCAAGCATTTTTTGTTTTTTATTTTCCAAAATAGTGAAAACGCGTTCTCTTTCCTATTTTCAAAAATGCGTTTTTGAAAACAAATTACAAATTTACAAAGAAAACCCAAAACGACAAATTTGTCGTTTTGGGTGTTTTCAATTATAATCAAACCAAAATTATCAAAACGCGTTTTTGATAATTTCGGTTAAGCCACTAACAACCACCGTCATTGCCGCCTGCACACACTACCTGTACAACACTGTCGTCGTCGCACCGCCTCACCCACCGCTAGTGACGTCACAGCCACCACAGCAGAAGAAGTGGGCGAAGTCACCACCCAAAACCACCACAGAAGAAGCCGGGGACGCCATCGCCCAAAAACACTACACCAGAAGAAGCCCACAACGCTACCACCCAAAACCACCGCACCAGAAGAAGCCCACCACGCCCAAAAACACTGCACTCCACCAAGCCCAAAAACACCACACTCACCACGCCCAAAACAACTCACACCACCCAAAAATAGAGAGAGACGACATAGAGGAGAGAGGGGAAGAAGAGAGAGAACGAGTTTTGGGTGTTTTCATTTTTGAAAATAATTTTCGAAATGATAAAAAGAACACATTTTCAAAAATCTCAAAAATGAACACTCAAAACACAAAATTCAAAATGAATTCAAAACAAAAAATTAAAATTGAAATACGAAAAGAACAACCCCTTATCTTTCAAGCACTCTGAAGNTATTCTTTTCCAAGATATATTAAATATATATTCAACACAGCACAACATAACCCGATCATATTCCTAGTCTGAATTCATATTAAAAACATGCACTGATTCACATGATTTATCACATGTGATTGCACATGCCATCGATATTATTCCTAATACCTATTGTCAATGCATTGATTTTGCCATGTTCTAGATTTATTGTAAGTATTCCTACACTACAACAAGTAATTTACTATTTAATTGGTGATCAAGCAATCAAATAATTCAATGAGAATGCAAAACCAATAAAACAAATCAAGAAATACTAAACTAATTGTCTTGAATTAAAATAAACAAACAATAATATTTATCATTCATCCAATATAAAGGAAAAACTAGCACAACATGTTAATATAAGAATTACAAAGAAAATAAAAGAAAGTCATCACCCGAATCATTCAACTATGAAGAGAATATGGAATTCTTCAATTGACACCTTCAAAACCCGGATTCAATGTTCTTCGTTTTTCGATGTGAATTCTATCTATTTTTTCTCTCCAAAATAGGCTCTCAATATCTAATCTATCTTTCTCCCTTCTTGTCTGCGTGTATACGTGTGTGTATATATATATCATTACTTTTTCTATCCGAAAATCTGATTTAAGGTGTGTTTGATCCACATTATTTTGGAAGAATGTATTTTGGAATAGTAGATTGATGAAGAATGTGTGGCTGAAAAGAAAGAAAAAGTTATTGATCTGATGAAAATTATTATTTTATTGAAAAATGTGTGGTTGAAAATGAGTAGAAGAACGAGAATGAAAATTTTAATGTGTATCAAGCAGGGGCTTAACAATAAAAATATATGGAGATACCCCCTCTTTGCGACAAGTAATGGTTGCAATAATAATGTATACTTCATAGAGACATACAGGGTAGACACCCTGCATCGCCGGCATGGGGGTACCAAAAGGCAAAAGGAAAAAGAAAGTGTATTAATCATGCTACGGCCTACGATATGCAGGTTGCTTCATACAGGTTTAAAAATGGGAAATACCATCAAATGGCTACTGTGAAATGTGCGCTTTTTAATAAATAGATCACTTTCTACTATTATTATGAAGAGTTGTGCTACACTTACCGAATTTTTTTACTAAATTTTTTACACTCCACTCACATTAGAGGGTGGGGACCACAAGCCGGAATTTTTAAATACATGTGGGGGCCGCAAGTCACTGATCACTTATCTGATCGATGGTTCAATGCTTAGAGAAAAATTAAATTTTTCAAAGTTAATTTTTTTTTTCTTGAGACAAAAATTAGAGTTTTTATTGTATTTGTCACTAATTATTTTTATGTCTATAAATTATTAGTCTTGTCGACTCATCTGTTACTATAGTGTTTACTATTTAATTTTATAATTTTGTAATAAATGAAAATTCTAATAAATATTATCCTCATTTTTGTTAGATATAAACATTTTATCAGTCAGATATCAAAGCTCGTTTGGTTGTGGATAGGGGTGGATTAGAATAGTTGGAGTGGGGGTAAAATTTTTCTAAATTCTTTTTATGTGTTAATATGTATTGTTTTAAGTGAAACTTATTTTTATTTCTTGAAAAGTTACGTGACTCGTTCTCAATTTTTTCTAATTTCTTGTTATTTTAATTTATTTAAAAAGCGGTAAATTCGTCATTTAACGGACAAAATGAAAGAAATGACGAGTTTTGCTATATAATTGAAAGATATGTGATAAATTATGTTATAAAATAGTTGAGGGTATATTCGTTACATTTCACAAAGAGTGGGAGTGTATATTTTTTAGTTTATAAATAGAGAGAAACGAGTAGAAGATACATAATAAATATACGATTTGAAATGAAGTTTGAATGATTTATAAATGTTGCCCAATGGAGTACAAAATCAAGGTTAACTCCTTGTTTGGTAGGAATTAAAATCAGATTTTTAGTAGATTTTGATAAAAAATTAATGAGATGTGTCGTTGAAAAGTTGTGAATCCTAATAACTAAGTGATTAAAAGTTATGAGTGAAATTCTACCTGTTGATGTTGTGAGTGAAATTCTGAAAATGCCGGTTACCAATTATCCTAATAAAATGTTCTGGAAACCCAATCCATCCGGGGACTTCACCATCTCTTCTTGTATTAATCTCTTCAAGCAAAGTAAGAGCAGACAAATAGCGTATAAACATATTTGGGATAAGAGTATTCATAAAAAAATTATTTTTTTAGGATGAAGACTTTGGCATAATTGGTTACTAGTAGAGGAAATCTTCCAAAATAAATTTGGCATCCAGTTAGCCTCCAAATATCAATGTTGCTGTAACTTTGAAAGTATCAATCATGTGTTCCTAGATGGGCAAATTGCTATGGAGGTCTGGTCTCATTTCTGTAGGGTTATGGATGTTCAATGAAGGCTAAACCAGGGGAGATCATATCAATTATTTTGTTGATTACCATCTGGTTTCTATGGATGGCCAGAAATAATGCTAAACACAAATACCATCCAATGAAGGCTGATAATATTATCAAGCAAATCTATGTCCTGGTTAATGCACTCCATAGGGCATGGAGGATCAAACAAATCGGTAGTAGCAAGTGCAACAAACCTATGGCAGTCAAGTGGGTTAAACCTGATACATGTTGGTATAAACTCAAACGGACGGGGCTTTGAAATCTAATTCTATGGCGGCGACGGGGGAATTCTGAGGAATAGCTTGGGTCATGTCACATGGGGATTCTATGATTAGTATGAAGAATGCTCTATAATGGAAGCTGAACTAAGAGCTATAGAGACAGGGCTGCAACTGTGCTAAACTCATGGAATTAGGAGGGTCTGGGTAGAGACAGATTCAAAGGCGACTCTGACCTTGATTAAACAAAATAATGGACCTTGAGGTGTTTAATATATTTTACAATCCATTCGTTGGTTTTTAGAGAAGATGGAGAACAAAATTACTCACACTTGAAGAGAAGGAAACCAAGCTGCTGACTGGTTTGCTTCCAAAGGATGCAGTGAAAGAAAGTTTAAATTTGTCGAAGCTAATGAATTCATTGGTAAAATCAAAGGTATTGTGAATCTTGATAAAATTGGTATGGAGACTATTAGACTAGTTTCTTAATTAGAT